ACAGAGCAGAAACAAACTTCATTCACAATCACTTAACATAAGAAGAAACAAACTCAGAGCTTCAATAATTTGTCCAAGGTCAAAGAGCTCATAAGGGATAAAAGCAAGGATTTTTTTTTCCCCCCTTGGGGTAAAGAGGCTGTCCAGTGATTTTAAAGCCTGGATTCTTTACATACATAGACTCAAAGGACTCCACAGGATACTAAGGAAATGTGAAAACACTAAAAAGTTGAGCTTTGTTCAATGACTCTACTCTCATTTTCCAGGGCATCCTTTCTCAAACTCCCCAACAGAAAGTACCTTTCAAAGAGAATTTTTTTTTTTTTCTGAAGAAAAACTATTTTCACTGGGAATTAACACCAAGTTAGTGCGAAATGTAGTAACAAGCTTTTGATAAGCAGTTTTGATAACTTTTTTGGTTATTTTCTATTATTTCCAAACTCCAACTCCTAGCTAATAAGAAAGCACTTGCCATTTTACCTAAAAGAGCAGACAACATGGAATAGTCAGTAATATCCCCAATGCAACATGAGAATTCAAAACTTTCCCATACTGATTCTACCTACACACCTACCTATTTTTATGAGACATATGTGACTTTGAGCAACATACTTAATCTTTCTACATCTTAATTCTCTCACCTGTAAAGCAAAGGGGAACTAAACTAGAAATAATATCAATGATTCTGTGTGGAAAGAGAAGTTTCCTGGGTTACAATTCACTCAAGTAGTAAACTTGAAGCAGGTTAGAAGTCTCACAAGTGCCTCAAACTTAACACATTTTGATTTGCATCACCAATCCGAATTCTCCCCAGTGTTTCTCATCTCAATTAATGGCACACACCTCTAACCACCTAGCTGTGTAAGCCGAAGAGCTGGAAGTCATGAATGATTCCATCCTGTCATTCATCTGCCCACTCCAATTTGTCTTAAAGCTGGTGGTTTCCAGCTCCGAAATACATCTCAAATCCATCCACATCTTTCCCACCAGCCAAAAGCCACTGTCACCTCCTGCCTGGCCATCTGTATTACCGGTCTCTTGGTGTCCACTCTAGTCATATTCTAATACCTTAATCAGTTAGCAGGGAGCCTTTAATTAAATACAGTAAATCCCATACCTCTCAGGTAAACTCACTCCCTAGTGCACACATATCAACTAAATACAGCCTTCAAAAGCTTTTTTAGAAAATCAAACTCTCACCAGGCACTGAGGGCTCCTCACAATCTGGCCCCATGCACCTCTCCAGCCTTATCGGGCAGCACCCTCCCTGGCTTCTCATCAAGCTCCTGGGCTTTTCTAGGCCTTTTTTCCAGTCTCTTTCAAGAGCCGAACTCTTCACACCACTTGCTGCTCTCCTTTTAGCCTGGAAAGCACTGTCCCGTCAACTCTGAGTTTCTAAGTAAAAATCACTTCCCTATCCGAAACTATTCTCCTGTTATTCTTTCAGAGAAACCTATTTCTTTTATATGTAGGACTCCTCCCAATCTGTAATCTAAATATTTATTGGTGTACCCATCTATTGTCAAACTAGCCAAGAGACTGTAAGCTCCTGAGGGCAGAGATCTTGCTTTCTTCACTCTTGTATACCTGCCTGTGCACAGTATCTAGCACAAAGCAGGCCCTCAAACAGCTGAGGAGTGGATGAAAGTAGGACATGTAATACTACAAGGTAGATATTTTTCACTCTGTAATCTATGGTCATCTTGTAGATACTATATCCCAAGTGCTTGCTATGTACCATAAAGATCCCTAATCCGTACAACTCTGCATTGTGATAGACAGTATTTAGCCTGTTTTATAGGTAAGGAAGCAGTTTCTCAGAGGGTAACTTGCCAGAATTCTAACCCAGGTGGACCAACTCCAAAGCCGGTGCCCTGCCTTTACAATATAGCCTTTCAGGTACTTCAATGGGGCCTGTGTTTCTCCCCATCATCATTTAAGTGGTAGGTAAGGCTTATACAAATGTAAGACTACAAAGCAAAATTATATCCAAAATCCACTCATTGATGGAAGATCCAGGAAGAGAATTTAGTGTAACCTAATTGTTTTTCTTCTGAATCCTGAAGGCTGGGAATGGGCTGCCTTTACAACATCATTACACCCTGTTAAAATGCATCTGGCTACCAAGGCAGTTTGGGAGATAAAATCTACACAAATGAAATCTGAAAGCTGCCAATAATAAATAACGCTAATGGTTTTCCAAAACGCATTCAATGGCAATATACAGCCCTTACCAGGATGGGTAATTTTCTTACATAAATTCCCTTCGCTACCTCTTATCTACAGTTAAAGATAAATGGTATACTTAACAATATTAACTAAACATATTCAACAGAACCTCCATAAGTTTTCTGACATGTAAACACCAAGCCACTTTACTGTTTAAAACAAATAGACAAACCATCCCACCTTAAGAAAATTACATACATTTTAAGCAGGTGTGTGTAGAAGTAAAGACCCTCAAACTGACTTCCGTATTTAATTCAGTAGAATACCCACTCCAATTTCCTAACATTGGAGATTAGAGAATTAAAAACTGTACACTAAAAGCATTTGTAAAAGGTTGTTTTCTCAGTAAGTCTGAAGCAAAACACCTGCCGCTTTGCCCGAGTTAACCAAACACTAAGGTCGTTACAGTTTGGAAGCGAGCCCAGGGGCAGGGATTTCACAGACCCGGTATCGGGATTCTCCGGCCACGGAGGGCGGGGGGAGCCCGGCAGCTATGGCGACCCGAGGCCGGGACGGGCCCGCTCGGGCCAGGGACCACTCGCCGCTGCCCCGACGCTTCTGCCGGACCCGTCGTGCTGGCCAGGGGGGGGGCCCTTAGCCACGCGAGCCACCCGACGCGACAGGCGGCCGCACTCACCTCGGCGCCGGCGGAGCCAGCACTTGGGGCACAGGCGGCGCTGAAC